ATATTATTATGATACATTTGTCTCAATCAATGAACCCGCAACGATGCATTATTGTTAACTGAACTCTACATTTGTATCCCAGTGTCACCAGCGTACTAGTCAGGGTTCTGCAGAGAACGGGAATCAGTAAGCCGCCTCTGCCCCCAGGCCTGTAGCCCATCTCCATCCTCACTCACAGATGTGCAGAGAGAGAGAGAGAGAGAGAGAGAGAGAGAGAGAGAGAGAGAGCGAGCGCGGCCGGAGCTGGTGCCCGGGGCTGAGCGCTGCCCCGAGGCCCAGGGCCCGGGACTGAGATCTGCCCTGGGCGGGAGGGACCGCGTGCTCCCGGAGGTCCGGGTCCGGGGACGTGGGGGGTGGGGTGGGGTGCGGGTGGGGGTGGGGGGCCGGCGGATGGGGGCGGGGAGCCCGAGTTTGGGAGGAGGAGGCGGCTGGGCGCCCGCCCCCGGGTCCAGCTCGACCTCCGGCGCCCGGGGAGGAGGCGGGAGGCGGGCGCAGGGGCCGAGGGGCCGCCGCCTCCAGGAATCCGCTCGCGGGGCCTCAGGGTCTGGGGGGCGGGGAGCCTCCGCGCCCGGCGAGCCGCCCCCGTGGCCGCCGCCCCGGCCCGGAGCTCCGTGGCCGCCGGAGCCCGCGGTGCCCCGGCGCGATCGGCCGCACGTGCCGGGCGGGGGCCGCGCTGGGCGGGCGGGGGGCCGCGGGGCCGGGGCCGCGGGGGCGCGGGGCCCGCCGCCCGCAGGGGCTCCGCGCGGGGTGCGGGCGCGGGCCCGGGGCGCCCAGGCCCGGAGGAGCGGGGCCCGGGCCGGGAGCCGCGAGCGCAGGCCCGGGGCTGCTGGTGATCGGGTAAGTGCCGGGCCGGGGGAGGGGGCTCTACCTGCTCGGCCCGTGCCCTGTGCGCGGCCCGTGCCCTGTGCGCGGCCTGTGCCCTGTGCGCGGTGTTCCCTGCAAAGCTGGCCCCTCTCCTCTGCCCCCCGCACCCGCCCATGGGGTTCTCGTGCTGGTGAAGGGCTCACTGGCTCTGAGACGCCTCCATGGCTCCTGATGTGACGTCTGCAGCCCCAGCCCAGGTCCCTTCAGCAGGTTCCTGGGTGAAGGCAGGACAGCTGAGTGTCTTACAGGGAGGGGCAGGCTCGCCAAGGCCAGTTCTTTCCAGAGAACCACCTGCATTGCAGCCCGTGCAGAACACAGGGCCCATGTCAGACAGCCCCTTAGTCAGGAACACAGATGGAAGCTGCGATGGCTGTTGAATACTTGAATCTCTACAGGCCCTGGTGTGTGGGCTCAGGAGGCAGCTTTCTCAAAGTGAAGGCAGATGCTCCGGCCATTTCCTGGACAGCTGGAATGGAGTGACTCATGGAGACTGGGACTCAGCCTTCACTCTGATACATCAGCTAATCAATACACTGCAGTCGTTGTTGCCCTTCTGTTCACACCCCAAAGTAGGTCCTGTCTGCCAACGAGCAGCCCTGAATGTGCCCACGGAGCTGAAGTTTTCACCTCTGAAATAGAAGGAACGTTACATGTCTGCGTGGTATGCAATAAAAGCTTGAATGTCCCACCACGCTCAGTGTGAAGGCATTTGTGGGACGCGCCCTGTGAGCTGTGCACCTTTTCCTAGACTGTAGGGCAGAGGTAGGAGTTGATAGTTTACAGGGAATTAAAGATGTGCGGTCTATTGCATGAAATAACAGTACAATACTGCATGACTGGAAGACAGAGAAACCAGGGACGCAAAATAAGACATAAAAAAGGAAAACAAAAGGTACATGTTGGCAGATTCTGTGCTTAGTTTACAATGTCAGTAACCTGTGGTTCCTGGAGAGACCAGCTCCACCCCTGTCGTCTTGTGAGCTTGGGCAGTCAGTGAGGAGATGGGCTCAAGTTCCTCTTCAGAATTCTCCCGAATTCCGTGGTCAAATGGAGGAGCCATTACACTGAACTTGGAAGTTCCAGAAGTCCCACTGAAGTCCAGAGACTTTGAAGACTCGGGGAAGAGCAGGGGAAGAAAAGTCGGGGAAGGGGTCTGAAAGTCCTGTCAAGGCGTCCATTTTCTAGTAATCCCACCCCCACCCCCACCGCCATTCCTGGCCAGCACCCCTGTCCTGGAGACCCTGAGGTCTCACTGCACTTTGAACTGAGCAGGAGTGTAAAATGAGGAGAGAAACTGGTTCTCCCAGTTTGTAAATTATTTTCTTCTTAGTTTGAACTTCCTCCTTCCCACTCCTCCCACCCCCCCCATGACCTCAGGAAAAGAGTGGATATTCTGGGAGAAGAAATTATTTAGTTGGAAACAAAAACAAATGGGTATGCATTTTCAAGATGCACAAAAGGAGAGGAGATGCTAAGTAGAGGCAAGAGAAGCTAAATGAGTGCAGGAGGGACTGGGTTCTGTTGGAATCTCCATATTTTGGAGATATCAGCTGCTGTGAATGTTCCTTCTTTATAAAGGTTAAAATAGTTCCAGAAATGTGTTTAATTTGGAGAATATTTTTGAGTCTGGTCACTGTAATCTTTTGATGTAAGCATGACCATTCAGAGTAATCAGAGAGCAAAAACATATTCTTGAGAGGCACTGATTGAATCTCTTCATAATGATTTGTTTTTTTAAAGAAACAGGGCATCTTTTCCTGGCAGGCACTGGTTTAGGTCAGGGGTCTGCAACCTTTAAGACATAAAGAGCCACTTGGACCCGTTTCCGAAGGAAAAAAAACCTGGGAGCTGCAAAACCATTGCAACATTTAAAATAAATATAACACTGCATACCATATTTTTCGGACCATAAGACGCTCCAGACCATAAGACACACCAGTTTTTAGAGAAGGGAAATGAAGAAAAAAAGATTCTGAAACAAATAGTGTCCTAAAATATTTTATGTGCATTAAAACCCAACATCACAGTCATAAACACATGTAATTAACCCTGTAAAGTAAACAGCAGCATTTAGAACCATTTTAGAGCCGGGCAAGCACACAGAGACCACACAGAGCTGGGCAAGTAAAAAAACTTTTTTTTAAAGTATATGTGTAGGCTATATTTGGACCATAAGATGCAGGGACTTTTTCCCCCCACTTCTGGGGGGGAAAAAGTGCGTCTTATGGTCCGAAAAATATGGTATATTGTTTCTTACCTTAATGTTATATACCGGATCGTGCAGTTAGCTGTCAATCTGAAGAAAAAAAGGACTTTTTCACTTAACAATGTAAAATATATTTTTGCAAATTAATAGCTAATTAAAATATTTAATTTACCTGGTTAATGGGATTTTTGCTCCTGAACCTCAGTGCACAGTGTCAGCACATCAGGGCTGTAAGACGTTACCTTCGTTTTCACACAGGCTTGCAAGTTGTCGGAGCCGCGGTAAAGCTTCAAAAGAGCTGCTTGCGGCTCTGGAGCCGTAGGTTGCTGACACCTGGTTTAGGTGCTTCAGGTAAAGAAAGCTAGTAAAGTGTCAAGATCATCATAATAAAAGGACAAGTATTGAAAGAGACCTTAAGCAACATAAGAGGAGAGGATAAAGATGGTGTGGAATATATCTATATCCTATTTCAGTGGTCGACAAACCTTGGCTCGAGAGCCACATGGGGCTCATTGGCCCCTTGAGTGTTCTAATGCCACTTCTTCAAAATAGACTCGCCTAGGTCCAGATTAGGTTCTGATTGGTGGGTTTCTATGCCTGTCAGAATCAAAAGCTCCACCTCCTAGGCTGGCATTGCCTCTTTTGGGAAATCCAGAATGCCCCCCCCCCCCCTCTCTCTCTCCCTGGGACTGATCTGCAGTCTCGCAGCAGCTGCTGATCAGGCCCTGCCTCTCTTTCTGGGCTTCATGCCTGCAGCCTGTTGTCTGGTCATCTGTCCAGTTGTTTAGGTCATGATGGCCCCTGGATTTTTATATATTAGGACTAATAGATTACTTGGCCATAAAAAGGAAAAATCTTACCATTTATAAAAACATGGATGTTCCTAGAGGATATTATGCTAAGTGAAATAAGTCAGAGAGAAAAAGACAATTTCCATATGATTTCACTTATATATAATAATATGTTTAATCTAAAGAGCAAAGTAAACAAAAGAGAAACTGGATCATAGATGCAGAGAACAAGCTGATGGTTGCCAGATGGGAGGTGGGTAGAAGGGGTGGCTGAGGAAGGTGAGGGGTTAAGAAGTACACATTCATGGGTGTTAGGTACAGCACAGGGAATATAGGCAATAATTTTGTAATAAGTATGCATGGTGCCAGGTGGGTACTTAAAATATCAGGGGATCACTTCGTAAGGTTTATAAATGTCTAACCACTATGCTGTTCACCTGAAACTAATATAATACTGAAAGTCAACTATTGAAAAATTTTTAAAGTTTAAAGAAATAAAAACAAACAAAAAGAGAGATGCATACTAAGAAATGTTGTGGGAGGTGCAAGTTAACAACATTTTCATAGGGTAGCATTTGCTAATAATAATAGCAGTGAGCAAGATCAACCTGATCTATCTATACAGTGCAGCAATTTTCAACCTTTTTCATCTCCTGGCACACATAAACTAGTTCCTGAAATTCTGCAGCAAAACCAAAAATAGGTTTTTTGCTGATCTGACAAAAAATAAATATAATGTTGATTCTTTCACATTGGATGGCTATGTGGTATTTGTGTGCACACATGTGGGTATAGAGGGTCATGGCAGGAGGGAGGGAGCAACTTTATACAAAGGGAAATTTTTTTTAATATATTTTATTGATATTTCACAGAGAGGAGGAAGGGAGAGAGATAGAGAGCTAGAAATGTCGATGAGAGAGAAACATCGACCAGCTGCCTTTTGCACACCCCCTACCAGGGATGTGCCTGCAACCAATGTACATGCCCTTGACTGGAATCGAACCTGGGACCTTTCAGTCTGCAGACCGACGCTCTACCACTGAGCCAAACCGGCTTCAGCACAAAGGGAAATTTTAAAAGTCAAATGAATAAAATTATTATGTTAGAAATACTTTTAATATTTTGTTTTATTTTTTCAGGAGAGGACTGTTGGAAGGATCTGGGAAACACAATTTTCCTATAAAGAGCAAAGATCCTTTACCTACACATTTTACAAATAATGTGCAGAAAGCCATTGATAAGTATAATTGGTAAGAATTAATCAATGAAACACTTCTGATTGCAAAACCAAAACGTGCCCATAATGAATATGCAAACAAAATTGAAGATTGGCTGTGAATTTCTAAAAGAAGCAGTTTTATTTTCATATAAAACTAAAATTAGTGAAATGTTACATTGCATCAGTATTTGAAAATTCTGTGTACTGTGAAATTGACCAAGGTATTTAAAGAAAGAAAGAAGTGGCTCAGGGAAATAAAGTCAGTTTCCAGCCTATCCTCACCCAGGAAATCCTATATAATAAAAGCCTAATATGCTAAGTGTCCAATCGTCCGGTTGGCCGTTCAACCAATCAAAGTGTAATATGCTAATGATATGCTAAGGCCACTCAACTGCTTGCTATGACATGCACTGACCACCATGGGGCAGACAGTCGACTGGTTGACTAGTTGCTATGACGAGCACTGACCACTTGGGGGCAGATGCTTCAACCAGTAGTTTAGCTTGCTACTGGGGTCCGACCCATCGGTACTGAGTGAGATGAGCTGGACATGCCCTCGAGATCCTGTGGTCCCTCCCCGGCCCCAATCATGCACCAGTGAGGTCTCTCGGCCTGGCCTATGCCCTTTCACAATCCGGAACCCCTTGGGAGATATCAAAGAGCCAGTTTCAGCCTGACAGTGGAATTCCCAGTCTCTATGATGCTCACTGACCACCAGGGGGCAGACACTCAATGCAGGAGTTGCCACCTGGTAGTCAATGCACTCCCACAAGGGAAGTAGTGCTTAGCCAGAAGCCTACAGTTCTAATGACGTCCAATTGATGGCTTAGGCCTGCTCCCCCTGAGGGCTCCCAAACTGAGAAGGCACAGGCCCGGCTGAGGGACACCCCCCCCCCCCCCCCGAATTTCATGCACCGGGCTCTAGTATTATTCTCTAGCATTATTTATGTTGCCTCCGTTTCCGTTTGTTCCTGCAGTGAGTCCGAGTCATCATTTTCATCCAGTGGAAGCTCCACACCCACAGAAGCCCACAGCTCTTGGTCCAGGTCTGGGACGCAGAGTTCGAACTCGACCGTGGGCTTATCTACCGAAAGGAGCTCCATTTGCTCATGGAGAGATGAAGTATGTCTCAGAATACTTTAGATAACTGCATGATTACAATGTATAAAGAAGAGTTGTTTTCTTAATTTTTTAAATACATTTTTATTGATTTCAGAGAGGAAGGGAGAGGGAGATAGAAACATCAATGATGAGAGACAATCATTAATCAGCTGCCTCTTGCACGCCCCCTACTGGGGTGCAAGCTAGGTATGTGCCCTTCACAGAAATCAAACCCAGGGACCCTTCAGTCCAAAGGCCGATGCTCCATCTACTGAGCAAAACCAACTAGGGCTCTCTCTCTCTCTCTCTCTCTCTCTCTCTCTCTCTCTCTCTCTCTCTCTCTCTCTCTCTCTCTCTCTCTCTCTCTCTCTATTTTTAATGAATTGAGAGAGGGAGAGAGAGAGAAAAACATCTGTGAGAGAGAAGAACCATTGATTGTCTACCTCCTGCACACCCCCTCCTGGGGATGGAGCCTGCAACTAGGGCATGTGTCCTGACAGGGAATTGAACCAGTGCATAGGATGACACTCATCCGACTGAGCCACACCAGACAGTGCTGCTTTCTTCTTCTTGTTATTTTTAAAAAATATGTTTTTATTGATTTCAGAGAGGAAGAGAAGGGAGAGAGAAATAGAAACATCAGTGATGAGAGAGAATCATTGATTAGCTGCCTCTTGCACCACGCTCCCTTCCCCCACTAGGGATCTAGCTTGCAACCCGGGCATGTACCTTTGACTGGAATTGAACCCAGGATGAAGGCTGCAGGCCAATGCTCTATCCAGTGAGCCAAACTGGCTAGGGCTGCTTTCTTGTTTTTAAAAATATCTTTTTACCAATTTTAAAAGCTTTACTTATTATGCACATACATAGCCATACATATAAAATCATTTCTATGTCACACATAAAATCTTAAAAATAAAGAACATATAAGGAAAAACAAAAATCACTTATATTCCCATAACTCAAAGTCTTAGCTATTAATAGTTTTGTTTTTTCCTACTTCCTTCCCCACCTTCTGGGTGTGTTACATTTAATTTCTTATATTGAGATCTATGGTGGGAAATTTAGGACAGACGCTGACAGTGGGAACTCAAGAAAAAAATTTGGGTGAAGTAAAAACTAACAAATTGCCATGGTTAAAGGTTTTCTAAGCAGATGTTTTACTTTCACCTTCTGACCCTTGTGGAAACTGTTAACTTTGACCTCATCTTTGTCATTTTCCGGAGTGGGGTGTGGAGCCAGGTTGGCTTTCGGTCTGCAGCTCTGTGGGGTGCTCTGCCAATTGCACAGCCTCCTGCCCCCGTCGCCCCTCAGGTGCCCCTGAGCATCCTGGGGCCCGGCCTTTTGTGAAGGCCTGGTGACTGGGAGCCTCTACTGCAGCCATGGCTGTTCTAGCTCCTGCGCTTCCTTGTGTTGTGTTTTCCTTTGCTCTCTTTAAAAGCAGTTCTCCACTTGCCCCTCTGCCTCCTACCATCTTACACCTGCAACTTCAAAATGTGGGAGGGGACGCTGGGAGGGAGTCAGCTCTGAGTCACTCAGGACCTCTTCAAAGGGGTGACTCTCACTTCTGATAAGCAGCCCCACCTCACGCCCACTCCCTGCCACCCCCACTCGCACTCTGCTCATAGCGTACAGGTGGGAAGTAGGCTGAGAGTCCTGGCTTCCCACTGACCAAATTCTGGGTTTTCATGTCATTATCCAGGGAGACTCTTATGGCTTTCATTCATAGAACTAGAGGCCCGGTGCATGAAAATTCATGCACTGGAGGACAGGTCCCTCAGCCCGGCCTACCTGCTCTCACATTCTGGGAGCCCTTGGGGCAGGAGGCAACCCAGCCATCTGGGAAAGGCGATGCCCCCTTTACACCTCTGCTGCTGCCACTGCTGGCAGCACAAGCCTTGGCTGGCCCTGGTTACCTGAACCTCGGTGGCCCTAAGCAGCTGGACAGCTGCCATCCGAGGCTTGCTTGTGCCTCAGGCCAGCCCTGGGCAGCTGGGGGGCTGAGGGGACTGGGAGACTCCAGAGGCAGGTGTGTGGGGACTTATGGGGGCAAGCCCAGCTATGCTGCCCACCTGCCACCCTGGCAGAGCTGAGGAGACCGGGCAGCACCATCTTATGGATGTGGGCACAGCCATCTCTGAGGGTGAGGCAGTCAATTAGCATATTCCCTCCTTCTTGGCTGTGGGCATTGCCATCTTTGAGGCTATATTAGCAGATTTCCTCTTTATTAGATAGGATGCACATCACTCTAAAACCTACAGTTGCTTTTAAACACTTTTATTTACTTCTTGATGGAGAATATTTGCAAAAGCAGCCAAATGCAATCAAGAGAAAATGGAAAGTAAGCCTTCTCCCAGGCCACACCCAGGCAATTCCCTCCTAAGAGGCATATGTTATTATTGAGTTTCTCCTTATTTGCATTTTAAAAGAGAATTCAACTCCCTTGCAACCTGGGGATCTAGTGTATTATCAACTGGAGGGAAGAAGTAACACAGAAAATATTGTCTAGCTTTCTATGAAAATCAACCTGAGTATACCATTTGGATAGGGTATGTCAGACTGAATATGCATTTTGTTGCTCTGAGTTGTGGATTAGATTTCAGGTTCGCACATTCCTGGAAGAAGAGATAACCAGGCTTTTGCTCTGGAGGCTGCCTGCTCAGTGTAGTGCTCCTAATTCTGGTAATGTTCACATTCCCCTCCTTGACCTGAGGGCTGTAGGAGTGTTGCCTCCCAATCGCCGAGAACACATAGAAAGGCTGAAAGGTTTTCTTACCCACATTTCACTGTTGCCACAGTCCAAGAAATTCTTTAGGTCCGGCAGGAAAAATTAATACTCTGGCCTCACTCTAATAATCATGCCTCAAGATTTATTTTTTTTTCATTGATTGAAAGAATCTGAATGGCCCTTTCTATAAAAGCCGTTTTCCTTTTCCAATGGTATCATCAGAGCAAGAAATAGTTTGAACTTTGTAGATGTGCTTAGATGAGGTCTCACCCAACCATATGAGAGACATATGTCTGCATATTTATACATGTGTGTGTGTGTGTGTGTGTGTGTGTGCATCTATATATATATAAAACCCTAAGGGACCGGTCAATCGTTTGACTAGTCAACCATTTGATTGGTTGCTATTATGCGCACTGACCACCAGAAGGCAGATGCTCAATGCAGGAGCTACCCTCTGGTGGTCAGTGCACTTCACAGCAGGAGCACCACTCAGCTGACAGGCGCCAGACACCTGACTCATGGCTGGTGAGTGCAGCTGCAGCAGCTCAAGCCTCTCCCACCTCCGCCACAGCCCTACCTAGTGGAGGCGGCAGCAGATGTAGGGGACCAGGATGAGTGGGAGCAGTGGGCTTGGGCTCCTTCCCCGCTGCCTGCCACTAGGTGCACCACTACATCCCTAAGGGGATGTCAGACTGCCAGTTTCTGCCCAACCCCCACAGGCAGTCCAATATCCCCCAAGGGGTCCCAGATTGTGAGAGGGTACAGGCCAGGCTGAGGGACCCCACTGGTGCACGAATTCATGCACTGGGCCTCTAATTATATATATATATATATATATATATATATATATATATATATATATATATATATATGTGTGTGTGTGTGTGTGTGTGTGTGTGTGTGAAGTATATTAAGATCTGTGTCATTCCGTATACCTATACCTATCACTATATCTATGTAAGATCTCAAATATGTCTCATAACTCATGTAGTAGATGACCTCTATTTAATAGTTACAAAAACTGTGGACCAGAGTGGAAATTCAATTCATCAGAAGAGTAAAAATTGCAGCTCTGGTGTGTCTGACCACAAAATCTACTTATTTCTATCTTGTCACAATGGGTGCTTTAAACACGTTAGCATCATGGATTATGAAGCCGTTATGTCGACAACTTTCAGTCTTGTAACCAAATGTGCATTTCTGTTTCAGGAGTTTGACAAAGCCAGTGCACAGAAGGTGCAGCAGTTATTCTGGGAGGTCGAGGAAATGTTATTCGAAGGGAAAGTGAGCGCACAGACCCAGAACCTCATGGCTGAGTGCAGCGAGTGGGCGAGACGATCCATCCACCTGAGGTAGGGGGTCATTCATAGTAATTCACCACCATGGGTTTTGGAACTGCCCACTCCGGCCTTGTTTAACACAATGAGCACATTTTGACTGAAACACTTACCTGGTCGAAATATGTATCCAGAACACCTGTCCTTTACTGAGATATTGCATCTCCTGATGATGACGGCTGGCCGACTACTGAGATATCCCTATACTCAAGTTCACGTTAATTTCTGAGAAGCACAGGTAGCTCATGCTCAGAACACATGCAAGATGGTGGTCTCCCTTTCCCTCCATGTCCACGAGGATGTGAGCGTTACATGTGTGTCCTCGGCACCGCTCAGGGGTGGAGGAGGGACAGAGTAATTATTTGCTGAATGACTAGCTAGATGAACCTTACCACTGCACCAAGATTCCTGGTGTAGGAAGGGTCGCTTGTTGTTTTTCTATCAAAGATGGAGACTGTAGATTGGATATAAAGGGAAGTTTTTTCTTCTTTCAATAACTCAGCCAAACTGCTTAGGAGCAATCCATATAGGCTCTCCGAAGGCCCTCTGCATTGTGCCTGGGGAGGTCAATGACAATATTCATGCAGATATCAGCAGATCTTCTGGTGACACCTACCAGGTCCCTTTAAAAAATTCTTGACTAGGTAGGTTTTTATCTTTTCTTTTTAGTCCTCTGTAAGCCTCCGCCTCAGAGGATGCAGTAGGTCGCTTAGCTGTTACTGTGGGTGCTGACTTCTCTAGGCCTGGGGAGCATACCAATGTGCCAGGAACTCAGAGCTGCTCCTGTCTCTGTTAACTCACAGAGTGAGGATGAAACATGAAGGAGGGGAGGACAGAAGAAGAAATTGAAAGGAATACAAGCCAAGTCTACATATTAATAGATTTCTATTCATTATATAGATTTAGTTAGCATTTATAGAGAACTTCTGTGTGCTTGCATGACCCGTGATCAGTGTTTTCAAACTTCTCCCTCTCATGGCACACATAAACTAATCACTAAAATTCGGTGGCACACCAAGCATATATTTTTTGCTGATACGACAATAAAAATAAGTGTAATTTTGAATCATTTGTCATTCTTTTATTTGACAATCTAAGGGAAAAGAAGTCAGTGTCCTCTGGCTAAACAGGCAGATATGACATGTTTTAAAAATTCATGTGGCAAAAAATATACATATTTTTTTGATGTGCTGCAGAATTTTAGTAATTAGTTTACGTGTGCCATGAGAGGAAAACGGCTGAAAGCCAGTGCCGTAGGTAAGGATCTGATAGACTTTATCTCTAGGTGACTTTATCATTCTGTCTGCCTACACAATCAGACAAGTGGAATCAGTGGCTTAGACACATGAGAACTCGGCCTCAAGTCTACCCAGGCAAGAACAGTCTGGCCTTTCCCTTAAACCCTGTGGCAATTGGTGATCCAGGATACTTCCCACGTACCATATGCTCCTTATTGCTTGATACACGTTCCTTCACAATAGTATTTTATATGGCTTTTCAATTGTAAAACATTTTAGCTTTCCCATAAAGATATTAATGGTTCTCTCTTTGTTTAAACCCTGCAGAGTGTTAGGAAGACAGGTCATCCTGCCGACCGATGAAGGTGTCCGCCACTTCCAGGGCGGCGAGCCTCGCTCTGCGAGTCATGAGTCCTCCCTGGAGGCCCATCAATGCGGCAGCAGCAGCAGGCAGTAAGTTCCTACAAGCTGCTTCCAAAAGGCAGTTTTAGTGGCATTTTAGTTATACTTCTTCATGTCTATTTCAGTCATGAGCCTCGGCTCCACCACTTTGCAAGTTTATATTTCTCTGAAGGGCAGGTACAGAACATTATTTTTATAAGATGCTTCTGAATCCAGATGATGACAGTTTGTGTGTGTGTGTGTGCTATTGATGTCAAGGGAGGTAAAATATATTTTTATTGATTTCAGAGAGGAATGGAGAAGGAGGGAGAGAGATAGAACCATCAATGACGAGAGAGTCATTGATCAGCTGCTTCCTGCACACCCCACACTGGAGACTGAGCCACAACTTGGGCATGTGCCATAATCAGGAATTGAACTGTGACCTCTTAGTTCATAGGTCGATGCTCAACCACTGAGCAACACTGGCTGGGCAAGGGAGTTAGCTTTTCAACCTTTGTTTCAAAGAATCTCTGAAAGGTGAGCTAGAAACAAAACCAAAACTACTTGATCCTAAGCCCCAGGGCAGTAGCAGCAGCAGGACTATAGCTCCAGCCATTTTTTTGTTTGTTTTGCTCACTAACAGATTTCAATGAATGCCTCCATGCCAGTCACACATCCTTGGAACGGTGCCCTGACATCCTTCCATTGTGGCAAAGAGAATGCAAATTCATAGAATAATGTAGTCTTCCAAGAAGCCCTTAAGATGTTTAATGATGCCCGTGTTAAAAATGCTGCTTCTCAGGATATGACTTTTGTTAAATGTAGTATTTAGTGACTTTTAAATTTGGGACTCTGTGCTTTCTGGATAATTTAAATACCTACCACAATCATGCACCCATTGTATTCTTGACGTTCTACAAACTCCCATGGAGAATCTGCTTTCCCCATAGGTTGTGTATCTCTGGCTCTCAAATACTCCCAGCAGCACTTGCAGCCCAGGCCCTGCCAGGTCCCGACTTCACAGAGGGGGCCGACCTAGCGGCATGTTCATCCCTGCAGGAAGAGGTCTATGATGTGGATGGAAAAATAGAAGAATATTTCGCTTTCGACAGAATAGAAGAGTGAGTGGAATTTTATTTGGCACTGACTAAATGGTTTAATAATATTAATTTGTTATTTAGTTTGATTACGTGCTCATTTAGTATATATTTCACTTTCCAAAAGATTTTCCATTCTTTGGAGAGTATTGTGCTCTTAAAAGCTTTCAGGTTCCTGGCAGGAAATGACTATGCTAGAAAACTGGTTCCCTTTCTTTTCTTTTTTTTTTTAAAATATATTTTTATTGATTTCAGAGAAGTGGGGAGAGGGAGAGAGAGAGAGAGAAACAGCAATGATAGGAGAGAATCATTGATCGGCTGCTTCCTGCACACCTCACACTGGGGATCGAGCCCGCAACCCAGGCATGTGCCCTGACTGGGAATGGAACCATGACCTCCAGGTTCACAAGTAGGTGCTCAACCACTGAGCCATGTCAGCCAGGCTGTTTTTGACAATATACTACAGCTAGAAAACAAGAGTTGTGTTTAGCACAATGGTGAACATGACTTGGTGCCCAGGAGCTCCTGGTTCCTAACCTGGCTTCACAGAGGGTAAAGGGGACAGTCCAGTTTCAGCAGTAAATGCATATTTGGTTCCTAAACAAAAGCTACACATATTACACAGTAAAAATTTGCCTTGTGATGGAAAATTGGAACATTTAAAAAATATGCACTGTTTAAAAAACGAATGTGATGTTTATTTATCCTAATATATAAAAACCCTAAGTCATAATGATCAGTAATGACCGAGGTTCATGGCAACCCAGCGCTGACTGTTTCTGAGGCAGGCGCCGCGGTCCCCCAGCACTGACTTCTGAGGGGGCTGTGAATCAGGGTCAGAAAGATGCCTGAAGAGAGAAGCAGGGACTGATCTGTTGCCTCTGTGGCAGCTTTTCATCAGCATTTGCCTCTCTCTTTCTCTCCCAATCTGGCCAGCAGCCATGACTCCATTTCTCGCCAGGTCTCCACCGGGGCTGCGGCATAGCCCTGCCTTTCTGATCTGGCTCTGTTGATAAGCCCAGAGATGCTGACTGGCATAGAAACTGACCAATCACAACCAAATCTGGGTGAAGTGTGAGGAGCCAATGGCTGCCTAGGAGGTGGAACTTTTGACATTGACTGGCATAGAAATCAACCAATCAGAAACAAATTGACCAGCAGAGGAAGAAAGTTGGGGGTGAGATCAGGCCTGCAGAGGAGGGAAGTTGGGGGTAAGATCAGTCTGGCAGAAAAGGGCCATTGGGGGTGAGATCAGGCTGGCAGGGGAGGGCAGTTGGAGACAAGATGAGACCAGCAGGGGAAGACAGGGATAAGATCAGGCAAGCAGAGGAGGGCCTTTGGGGGCGAGATCAGGCCTGCAGGGGAGGGGGCAACCAGGCCTGCAGGGGAGAGCAGTTGGGGGCAATATCAGGCTGGCAGGGGAGGGCTGATCATTTAGGGGTGATCAGGCAGGCAGTGGCAGTTAGAGGTGATCCGGCAAGCAGGCAGAGTGGTTGGGGTGATCAAGCAGGCAAGCAGGTGAACAGTTAGGAGCCAGTGGTCCCAGATTGTGAAGGGATGTCTGACTGCAGGTTTAGACACTAAACTGGCAGAAAGACATCCCCCAAGGATCCCCGGATTGGAGAGGGTGCAGGCTTGGCTGAGGGAACACCCCCTCCATATACAAATTTCGTGCACTGGGCCACTAGTATATGTATAATATACATTGATGAATGCATGTTAGGTAGATAGATAGCATTATTTACCTTTAACTCCTTGATTCTTTTAGTAATAAGAATGGATTTTGTCCTTAGTGACGATGAACACCTGGAACAGAAATCAGCTCACCACTGTGGGATGCAGAGCAAGCACGGACTTCCTCCCATTTCCCCTCATGACTGTATCAGAGATGCTGTGGCTGCAGAAGTGTTCGATCATATCTGGACAAATGTGGTAGAAATACTGGAAGAGCTGATTAGAAAAACCTGGGAAGTTACACTCACAGGTACTTATTTGGTGAACTTGACCTAATGAAAAGAAAAAAAAAGACCTTGCCCTAGATTAGGGGTGTCGAACTCAATCAGAGAAGGGGCCAAAATCTAAAATCCAGCCTAAATCGCGGGCCGAATGGTTTACTGAACAGTCATAAACTGTCATTGTGATGGAAACGCAGCGGAGTGCAGTGATGACAGCTCGGTGCGGGCCACATTGCAAGGCCTGGCGGGACGGATTTGGCCCGCGGGCCTTGTGTTTGACACATGTGCCCTAGATGGTTTGGCTCAGTGGATAGAGCATCAGACTGCCAGCTGAAGGGTTGATTTGGGTCAAGGGCTCATGCCTGGGTTGCAGGCTTAATCCTCAGGAGGCAGCTGATTAATGATTTTTTTCCATCATTGATGTTTCTATCTCTCTCTCCCTTTCCATTCTTCTTTGAAATCAATAAAAATATATTTAAGGGAAAAAAATAAAGAAAAAGAGGCCTTGTTTGTCAGCACTGTGCCCCACCTCAGCCTGGCCATACATAGGGCATGATTGGGGTGAGAGGGACGGGCATTTATTGCCTTCATTCACAAGGGACCTTTAATCACTTCAAAAGGGACATTATCATTTTTGAGTTGTAAAAATGATATACTAGTACATGTACTCTGGGGGAAAACCCACAGAAATACACAAGAAAGAAACTAGAGGTCATATATTTAAAAATGTATTATGGTAAAAAAAGAAAATCAAACAAAAACCTTACCTAACTAATAATGGGATATTGCCTTTTTATTGTTTCTGATGTTATTTAGAAAGTATCAATAAAATGTAAATATAGATCATTTAATAGTCATTTTATTTGACTTTATAAAATGTTTTCTAAACTACTTGAAACTGAGCAGAAGTAAATCTATAATAATATAAGCATAAAATGCTAAATAGACCAGATAGCCGAACTGCCTTCTGGATGTCATTCCTGATGTCCTTCTGGACTAAGCCACTGTGGCAAGGGCCAAGGCGGAGGTGGTTAGGGGCGATCAGTCAGGCAGTGCAGTTAGGGGCAATTCAGCAGACAGACAGAGTGGTTAGGGATATCAGGCAGGTAGGCAGGTGAGTGGTTAGATACCAGTGATGCCAGATTGTGAGAGGGACGTCTGACTGCCGGTTTAGGCCCGCAGGGATTGGGCCTAAACCGGCGGTCAACATCCCCCAAGGGATCCTGGATTGTGAGATGGTGCAGGCCAGGCTGAGGGACCCCACGCCACACCATACAAGAATTTTGTGCACCAGGCCTCAGGTCATAGAAATGTTAGTGGTGGATGGTGCTATGTGATCAATTTGCACAGTAGAATAATAATCATGCTAATTTAAATATTTTTCTAACTAAAGGGATTAGTTCCAATATTATAAAATTCTGAGAATTTTTCTTGCTTCAGTATATAATCTCTACTTTTTTGCCTAATTGTGAAATGATAGGCATTCATTATGTATGTGTGGAGAAGTATCATGTCAGCCAATTGCTCCATGGGGTCTCTGCTCTCTATAGTAAAGTCCACGACTATAGCAAACTCATGGTAACTCAAGAACAAATATTTTCTTTAAGCAGTGAATTTTAGATAACATTATTAATAATATTGTATTTTCTGTTGACATAGGAAGAAGAAAACAGAAAGAAAAATTGAAAGTTGCTGAGGCTAAATCTCCGCAGGTTCTCATTTCCCATATTAACACTGGTCTAATGAGTGTTCCCCCGTCCAGAAGTTCTGAAACTCAAAGCATCTCCCTGGCTTCTCATCTTAATCCCCCCCAGGTAATGCTTTCCCCCTAGTCTCTCTCTTTCCTTCAGTTTTTATAGCTTTGGCTTTAGTTTGATAAGATTACTATTCTATTAAACTTTATTATAAAATTATTCAGGTCTGTTTTTTAATAAGACTAATTTAAAAAAATACTTATTTCATGGAGTTTAATAGAATCACCATATTCTTTAATAGAATGAAGACACTCAGATTTGAAACTTTCCATCAGCTTTGAGCTGTAGCACTGTGTCCATATTTTTTAAGAGAAAATATGTTTGGCCCAATATTTCTAGCCAATTTGCAGGTTACAAATGTTCTGATCTCCTCCCATCAAAGTGATAAAAGGACCAGTCAGTGAGTATACACTGGGTTCATCCCAACATTTATTGAGTTTGTGTGAAGTGACCTGTGTTAAGTGTTTTGAAGAAATATGCAGATGAAGAAAGCATAGTCCCTGACCTAGTAAAACAAAAAGTGTAAAACAAGTCAGAGGCAATATATTCTGCTGATAATGTGCAAAAGCAGTGTGTCTTAGGAGAATAAAGGAGTAGGAAGTCTGCATGGGTCATTTCAGGCCCATCAAAGGCATGGAGGAATGTAAGATGGGGCATGTTTAGGAAACAGTGATTGGACTTTGGGTTAGAGGATGGTATACTGGGACCAGCAGAAGCATTGTGGTAATACCAGAGCATTTGGAATGAAGAGACCTATGTGCGGGGAGAGGGTGTCATATTGGATGTGTTGATTGAACTTTTCTAAACTTAAGGTTCCTAATCTATAGAATGAGGATAGTAATATGTTGCCCAAAGGATTGTAGTGAGGGCAATATCATGTAAATATATGATAGTCACTAACACAGAACATAGCAACTAACTATCTTAGTAAATTTTTGTTGAGATCCATTCTTACTCAAAGACCTAGTGGAAAATGAAGCTTATCCATGGGAGACCTTCTGGAGTACTAAGGAGTTGGGATTGTATGTTTCGCACAGGCCATCTTGTGTAGAGGGGAGCAGAGAAAAGGGGTTTGAGAGGGTTCCTGGTCTCAAGCTAAATATAATTAGTTGGTGGGAGTCCAGCCATGCCTCACGCACAGGCACACACACAAGATGAGGCAATCTTGCAGGTAGCAGAGTAAATGAGAGGTTGAGCTTTGGGTATAGAACTACAAGTTTGGAGCCTGACATCATGATTTATTAGCTTTGTGATCTTGAATCAGCTCTTTCCTTCAAAACTGGTTTTGTTATCTATGGGATTTATGAGAATTAAAGGAGATAAGACATTGTGTGGCATAGAGTAGGCACTCAGTAAGTGTTTTATTAATGTAACCAGGAGCTAATTATATGCATTATATCATATTATGTTATATTATATTTTATTATATTATAATAGTTATATGTCCTTTAGCTCATAAATGATGTAGGGTTGAAAGGAAAAACAGCATACCCTTCGCAAAGTAGAGCAAGCATGTCAAACCCACAGCCTGCAGGCCACATGCTGCCCACCGCTAATATTTTTGTGAGCCAGCCAACATAGCACTATCTAAGAAAATTTTAATATAAATTTCATAACTTAATTCTTACAATATCCTGTTATATATAAGCATATCTAATAAAAGTGAAGTATGCAAACAGACTGGACCTCTGCTACACCAGCAAGTCACACCCACCAGCCAATCAAGAGCAAGTATGCAAATTAACCCAACAAAAGTAGGGTGGTGGCATGAAGCTGGAGCAAGCAGGAGGCTTGGATTGCCCCAGTGATGGAGGAAGCCAAGCTTTCTGGCCAGACCTGGTCTCCACTCAAAGCTACAAAGTTTCAATTATAGAAGATAAATAAGTTCCAGATACCAGGGCCTTCACTTGGGTCGCTGAGGGCCGTGGCCTGCCTGCAAACAACCACAGGCACCTCACCCAGGCTGCCCCAAGCCCTAAGAGAACCCCCACCATGATCTGGGACACACTTCAGGGCAAACCAGTCAGACCTCACTCGTCTACCAGGTCTCTATCCTATCTAATAAAAAAAGTAATATGCAAATTGACCATTACTCCAACACAAGATGGCTGCTCCCATGTGGTTAAAGATGGCTGTCCCCATGTGGACACAAGATGGCCACCACAAGATGGCCAGCAGGGAAGGGCAGTTTGGAGGGACCAGCCTGCAAGGGAGGTCAATTGGGGACTATCAAGTCTGCAGAGGAGGGCATTTAGAGGTGACCAGGCTGGCAGAGGAGGGAAGTTGCAGGCAACTGGGCCTGCAGGGAAGGGAAGTTGGGGGGAACCCAGGCCTGCAGTGGAGAAGAGTTGGGGGGTACCATGCCTGCAGGAGAGGGCAGTTGGGAGGAACAGGCCTGCAGGGAAGGGCAGTTATGGGTGATCAGGACTACAGGGGAGGGTAATTAGGGGCAATCAGGCTGCAAGGGAGCAGTTAGGCATCAATCAGGCAGGCAGGGTAGTGGTTTAGGGGGTGATCAGGCTGGCAGGCAGAAGCAGTTAGGGGAAAGCAGGAAGGCAGGCAGGCAAGCAAGCAGTTGGGAGTCAGCAGTTCTGGATTTTGAGAGGGATGTCTGACTGCCGGTTTAGGATGTCCTAGATGGGCAATCGTACATCCCTCAAGGGCTCCCAGATTGGAGAGGGTGCAGGCTGGACTGTGGAACCCCCCTAACCCTCCATGCACAAATTTCATGCACTGGCCTCTAGTCATTAATAATAAACTACAACGTTCGCTAATGACTGATTATTATAATTGTGATGCATACATTTTCATTATGCTCCTTATGGGCAGGCCTACCATTTCTCTCAGCATCGAATATTTTAGCAGCCATGTCTTTAGTCTTGCACTGACTTGTTTGGCGTGTGCAACAGGAAAGATTTTGCTTTCGGAGAACAAGAAAAATAGGTTTATTTGCATTATGCATATTCATTTGTGCAGTTATTCAGTGTCTGGTAAGTTAATGTTCTAGAAAAAATATGAATTGTTATTAAAATGTTCTATTATTTTATGTTAACGATGACTCATTTATTTCAGCCCTTTGTATTCAGCATGTATCTATTGAAATAAATCTATGTTTCTATGAATATTGAAGCTTTTGTTTTTTTGCGGCCCACATAAGCTTAAACCTTGTTTGTTTGGCCCGTGTTAGCCTTTGAGTTTGACATGCTTGAAGTAGAGTAAGACCTTAACTGAGTCTTAAACAACAGGCAAACTTGGTAAGCTGCAAAGGAAGGGAAGGTACTCAAGGCAGAGGCAAAATATGCGCCTGGCACAGGAGCAGGGCCTGAAAGGAGCGTGCAGTTGGGTGAGTAGCGGTTTGAAGCAGGAATATCTAACAGGATTGCTTTCTTCTTTAGTGCGTGGGCTTTACCATAAGGTTCACTTGCTTTTGTTGTTGGAATTGCTATGAGCTTGTTGTGTCTCTAAAACTGCTCTGACTGGTTCAACATCATTTCCCACTTTGCATAGTAAACTATGCAGCGTGGATTACATAGAAACAAAGAGTTGATAACAAAGTGGAACCTTTAAACATTAGGCAGAAGAAATAAACTTGAGAAACAGGAACATTCTGCAAATGCTCCTGTTGCTCAAATTTATTTATTTTGCCTGATAATATCTAAGCAGTTATTTATAGGTATTTCGTGGTTTTTAATAGTTTGAAGAAATCTTTTCTACATCTACTTTGAAGTTCTTTTTTGGATAAATGCTGAAAGAAAATGCATTACAACACAGGTAAAAGTACAGATAAGTATTAATAGAACTTATTTTGAAATAGTCAAAGCATTCTAGTGATAATTGCAACAGGTCGTCACTTATTCCTCTAACATTTCTTTTTACATTTATCCAACATGAGGAAAATGTGAGTGTGGTTGCTAAGTCTATTCTTCACCCGGAATAGAATTCTAATCTCGATATCCTGTTCCTTTAGGTATAACTATTATTTTGAATCCTAGTTGGACATATTAAGGTACTGGAATAAAGAATTGATTATTGAGCTCTTCATTCATGCTTTCACCACTGTTGTCTAATTTCACTCCCATAATAATGATATGAAGTAAGTGTCATTATTCCCAATGGAGAGATCAGGCAATTAAAACTCCACAGTAGCCTTCCCATGATCACCAACCAGGAAGCAGTTAGAACAGGGATTTGTAAACCTTTGGACCTGGTGCTTGGATGTTTCCAGGCCTCGTGCTGCAACCTGGAAGCAGAGGGCGGTGCTGTGCAGGGCACAGGAGGAGAGTGCAAAGCAAGCTGACCAGTCAGGAGCTGGGACACGTTCGCTCTCCTTCTCCTGTCCTCTCTGCACCTGCCTCCCCCTGGGGTGCCCTGGAGGCTGCCTTCCCTGGTTGCCCTGCCCAGCAGTGTCCACAGGGGGAGCTCAGAGGTTAAGGAAGAAGGAGGTGTCCTGTTACTTTTCTCTTGGCTGCCAGGTCACGATGTGTTGGTGGCATCTCTTCAGGCAGGAGCCTTGTCGCTCCAGGCCCAAGTGTGGGCATGTGTGCCCACTGGCCTTGGGGAATTAAGCTGTTCCTTGTTAGTTTCGCTCCCCACCTCTTAATAAACTCTAGTCCCTTTATTGAATTTTCCTCCAATGAGCCCGTCTGAGTGTGCCGTTGCTTCCTGCAGATCCCTAGCAGGTATTTGTGATGGCAATGGCTATGGATGCTTTTAAACTCTTATTGTTTTTACTGTTCTCAGATCCATCGCTTCTCCACCAATTTTTATAGTGATTTGAATGGTGTGATGACAATTCAAGCCAAACCACTTCAGCAGAGGCCGACCCACTTTGCCGACAGGACACAGTATGTATGTGAAATAACCACCCAGCCTCCTCCCTGTGCTACACACACGTGAACACCGGACTGTGGAGGGCATGAGAGAATGGAAATCACTCTCAGGGCAGGACACAGACAGTGTGTGAGGATAAAATACGCTATTCATATACTGACAACAAAAGGATTAGGGTTGGGGCAGATAAGAAAAAGGGACCCAGACAGCATGGTTCAGTGGTTGAGTATTGACTTACAAACCAAGAGGTGAAATTTTGATTCCCAGTCAGGACACTTGCCCGGGTTGTGGGATAGATCCTCAGTAGGGAATGTGCATAAGGCAGTTGATCAATGATTCTCTCTCCTCATTGATGACTCTCTCTCTCTCTCTCTCTCTCTCTCTCTCTCTCTCTCTCTCTCTCTCTCTCTCTCCCTCTCTCTCCATCTCTTTTCCTCTCTAAAATCAATAAAAATATATTTAAAAAAGAAAAAGAAAGAGAGAATGCAGCAGTGAATTCAATCTAATGGGCTATCGTGTTTGATTATAAAGAATAAGAAGCCTGGATCTTTTCTCTCTATTGATGATGTTTCATTGGAATTGGAACGGAATTGGAAATGATAATCTGTTTATCCTTTCAACAAATAGGAGTATCTTCTAAGAGCCAGGCACTGATCTCGACGGTGTCTGGTCATGGGCAAATGTTCCCTCTTCTCACAGAATTTGCATCCCAGTAATTAACCTGATTTCCCTTCCCCAGGAATGAACAAGAGGACAAATCACTGAGTGTGGGGGCTAGTGCCCTTTCTGCCACCCGCCACCGTCTGGGACGAATCTCAGACTCCTGCCGACTACAGACTCCTGCAAAGAAAACACCGGTTCTCAGGAGGCTACCTTCTCTCACTTTGGACTCGCAGAGAATGAAAACCCCCAATGTGGACAGTGAGGAGATGCTTAGGGTAACAAGACTGTAAGTTCTGCTTCTCTCAGGGTAAACCAAAGTCACAGAGGACAGAGGCTCTTCTCACTTAGGGCTCATGGATTATTCTAGAGAAAGCATCCTCTATCAAACTTATGTAGACACTTTTCTAAGTTGTTTATGCATTTGAATATTGACATGAATTGAGTATTTAACATTTGAGTTTTTGGCATGAATTTTGTTGCAGCTTTATTTACAGCAGTTCTTAGCTATATTTATAATTTACTAGTGGCCCAGTGCACAAAATTCATGCATGGGGGAGGGGGATTCCCTCATCCCAGCCTGCATCCTCTCCAATCGGGGACCCCTTGGGGGATGTCCGACTGCCTGCCTGATCGCCCCTAACTGCCTCTGCCTGCCTAATCTCCTCCTACTGCCCTCCCCTGCCAGCCTGGTTGCCCCTAACTGTCCTCCCCTCCTGGCCTGATCTTGCCCCCAACTGCTCTCTCTGCCTCGGCCTCCACCACCATGGCTTTGTCTGGAAGGAAGTTGGACATCTGGAAGATGGCCGCTTGACCCAGTCTAATTTGCATATTACTCTTTTATTAGTATAGATTGGCACCCCCATTGTGTTGTCTCTCTTTGGGGACACTACTTGGATCATATGCCACTGCAGCAAGGGAGGGAGTTATTAAAGGTCCCCATGCGCTTGGTCAGTGTGATTCAGTGGTTGAGCATCGATCCATATATCAAGAGGTCACAGGTTTGATTCCCAGTCAGGGCACGTGCTCTTATTTCAGGCTATCTCCAGTGGAGAGGCATGCAGGAGGCAGAAGATCATTGTTGATGCATCAATATTTCTATTTCTCTCTCTCCCTTCCTCTATCTCTAAAAATCAACAAAAACATTTTTAAAAATTTCTTTATTGATTAAGGTGTTACATATGTGTCCTTATCCCCGCATCCCCCCCATCCTCCCCACTCATGCCCTTACCCCCTGTTGTCTGTGTCCATTGGTTAGGCTTATATGTATGCATACAAGTCTTTTGGTTGATCTCTCCCCCTTACCCCACCCTCCCCTACCTTCTCTCTGAGGTTTGATGGTCTGGTTGATGTTTCTCTGTCTCTGGATCTATTTTTGTTCATCAATTTCTGTTGTTCATTATATTCCATAAATAAGTGAGATCATGTGCTATTTATTTTTCTCTGACTGGGTTATTTCACTTAGCATAATGCTTTCCAGTACCATCTATGCTATTGCAAATGGTAAGAACTTTTTTTTTTTTTTTTTTTTTTTTTACCACAGCATAGTATTCTATTGTGATTCTATTGTGTAGATGTACCACAGTTTTTTAATCCATTCATCTGCTGATGGGCACTTAGGCTGTTTCCAAATCTTAGCTCTGGTGAATTGTGCTGCTATAAACATAGGAGTACATATATCCTTTCTAATTGGTGTTTCTGGTTTATTTGGATATATTCCTAGAAGTTGGATCACTGAGTCTAATTGGAGTTCCATTTTTAGTTTTTTGAAGAAAAAAACACTTTAAGGACTTAGGGCATTCACATCAAGATAGTGGGGCATTTACCAATTTGGAAGTTAGAATATTGGGGTCTCCACGCAGCAAACATTTCATACAATAGTCATTTCACACATTAGAGGGGTTTCCTTATGACCATAACATTATTTTTAAAAAATATATTTTATTGATTTTTTGACAGAGAGTAAGGGAGAGGAAGAGAGAGTTAGAAACATAATGAGAGAGAAACATCAATCAGCTGCCTCCTGTACAACCCCTACTGGGGATGTGCCCACATTCAAGGTACATGCCCTTGACCGGAATCGAATCTGGGACCCTTGAGTTCACAGGCCGATGCTCTATCCACTGAGCCAAACTGGTCAGGGCGACCATAACATTCTTATAACAGGGATCTTGCCCGTAAACTTTGCATATGGTCTGAATGGGAATAGAACCATGACCTCCTGGTTCATAGGTTGACGCTCAACTACCGAGTCCTGCCAGCTGGGCTTAATTTTGTTATTTTATTGATCACTCAATTCCCTAAATTTCTACAGTGCTTATATTCAGAAACGCGTGCCGTAACATGTTGTCATATAAATTGCATTGCATTGTACTCTAATTGTTTCTGTTTTCAGTAACTTGTAAATTTCATAGGGTCAGAACTAGATGTTCCATTACCTCTCTGCTCTGCCCTGTTGTTAGAATAGCTGGTCACTGGGTCAACACAGGCTGAGGGTGATAGCTGAGCAAGGAGAAGGTGACAGAGCTAGCTGGTGCCAGGCTCCTTCCACATCTGTCTTCCTGAACTCAGCTCTTTCCTCTTAGAAAGCAGACTGTGGTGAAGAACTCACATCAGGAGCTGTGTTAGGTCTGTTCTCTCCCTGTCTTGATTCCCGGATGCTCAGTTGCATGTTGTTGTGTTCGCAGGCAAACTGGCCTGGACCTCATGTCTTCCCCACCCGTCCACACCGCACAGGCCCCGAGGTTACCTCCCATCGGTCCCGAGCCCGCCGAGCAGAAGGTGGCAGCTCCTGGATCTCGCCCTGTCTCTGTAAGACAGATTCCATTATATTAAAGTTCACCATTTAACAAACAAACAAACAGTTTATAATCTTGGTATTTTGCAGTGAAATCATTAACATAAAATGTCCCCATAATCTGCTCTCTGAAAGTTAATGGCTTGTGAGAATTTCCAGGGGCTGGGAGGGTTCATTCACTCTTTTGTGAAATGAAAACATGGCTTACCCTAAATGAGGGAGCTTAGGTGTCCAGGAAATACCAGATGGTCAGGATGGTGAGCAGAAAATAGCATGAAGGTGAGGTGAGGAGACAGGCGGGTCTGTGTCGGAATCCTGCCACCCAGTCTCCGTGATTTGGTAGAAATGAATCTCTCTGAGCCCCAATTTTGCCATCTATCAAAGGGCAATGATCACTGCTACCTCAAAATATGGTTACATGGATTCAGTGAATGTAAGGATGTTAAATAATGACTGGCATAAATGAGGAGCTCAGTCACATACCACTGCCATTCTTATCCGCTCTCTTTTTCCCCCGCTAACTCTCCTGTTCACTGCAATGTGGAGGCAGTCCCTTCTGCAACCAAGCTTGACTCAGCCCTGCAGTTGGAAAAGGTCTGGGGAAGCTATGCTGCCGGTCACAGGCATACCCATGGTTCATAATGACCCACGCTTTGCTGTGCTTCAGACAGCTTGTGCTATTTTACAGAACACAGAAGCACCTTGGTTGTGGCGACATAAGGCTGAGAGAGAGAGAACAACGCCGCGGCCATGTTTTCTCCTGCATCCCTGTGCCCCCCTGAGCATTGCCACTGGCCCATGTCCAGGAGGGCAGAGCGGCAACACTTCAGTATTTAATCTTAGAATATTGAGGCTGAGCGTGAAATCACCAAAGAAGGCAAATATCACCTTAAAAAAAAGTCCGATGCTTCCCAACTGCAGTACTACATTTTTATTACAGTTTAATACTAAGAATTTGATGTCGGAAGTTTTTTTACCCACATTTACCGATTAAGACACTATTATTTTATTAGGCTAAATAACGCAGTTCCATAATTAAAATATTTTTCTATTTATGCTTAGTAGATCTCATGTTTAACAACATATAAATACCTTTTTAAATAAGTGAACAAATGAATGACTAAAGGAGTGAAGCGTATGTAGATTTTTTTTTTTTAAGGTTTGAATTTTATTTAAACAATAACATATTATCTCTCATTTAGTGCAGAGGCGGGCACGCACAAAGCCGTGTTTTAAGTGCAGTCCCCAATAGTGCAGAACGATCGCCTCTTCGAGAAAGATCTCTGACTGTGGAACAGTCTTCAAGGCCCAGCACCACCCATACGTTCCGGGTAGGTTCTCTGCTAACTATCCTTCGTTTTTATTTTTGCTCTAATTAAAGTGTTGGGTGACATTGGCTCACAGGATCATGCAGGTTTTTCGAGTGTACATTTCCATATGCATGACCTGTATACTGCATTGTGTTAACTATACTTTGGTTTTTAAAAATATCCAACCCATGCCTGGCTGGTGTGACCCAGTTGATTGAGTCACATTTCATGTATCAAAAGGTCACTGGTTCAATTCCAGGTGAGGGCACATGCGTGGGCACAACCCTCAGTAAGGGGTATGCAGGAGGCAGCTGATCAATGGTTTCACCCCCTCTCCCTCCTGTCCCTCTAAAAACAATAAAAACATATTTTAAAAAAACTATCCAGCCCAAGCGCCCATCAGTAGACAAGTGGATAAAGAATTTGTGCCAAACAGACATACATATATTCAATGGAATATTAGTCATAAAAAAGAATGAAATTTTACCATTGGTGACAGCATGGAAATAAGTCAGAGATAGACAAGTACCATATCATTTCACTTATATGTGGAATCTAAAGAACAAAATAAACAAAATAGAAGCAGGCACATAGGTTCAGAGAACAGACTGATGGTTGCTAGCGTGGAGGGGGGATGGAGAAGTACAGATGGGTATTACAGAATAGTCATGGGGTTGTAAGTACTGCATAGGGAACATTGCCAATAATATTGTAACATCTGTTAATGGTGCCAGGTGGATTCTGGGAATATCAGGGAAATACTTTGTAAAGTATACGATTATCTAACCACTATGCTGTACACCTGAAATCTATACAAAATAATATTGAGTGTAAAAAAATATATACTTTTGACTAAATGTCCAACAAGGAAAAATGTATCGGAAACAATAAAACTCATTCCTCATTTTATTTTTCTCCTGACAGTCAGAAACCCCTCGAAAAGCTTCATTGACTCTGATGGAGTTTGCTGGTCACACCTGGACAGGTCAAGGTTTGCTGACAGGTCAGTGCTCTCCATGTATAAATAAAATGATGTAATATGTGAAAGTGTACATTTTTAAAAAGAAGTTGAAGACTGCTACTTGGATAGGACTGTGGTGGACCCTGTCAGAGGAAATACCAAGGTCTATAGTCTGCAACCAGACCTCACAAATCTCTATAAAGAGCAAAACTGCAAAGGCAAAACCTGTTGTTGCAGAGGAAAATGCCCAAATGCTTCTTAATCAACTTAAGATCTCACTCTCAAAAAAACAAAACAAATGGGAGGGGGTTGGGGGGGATGACTTGTGAGTCCTATGGGAAATTAGTGTCTCCTTCAGCTGTGGAGGTTCATGCTTTTCTCCTGAATGAAACCCTAATCTTAGATTCTCTTTGAAGATCTAATGATAAAAATGCTCAATAAAATTAATACATACCAGTACACTCTATTTATGTAGAGTTTTACTGATGAGTGTGCTCTTCAAAGAATAAAGTTTCTCATCTGAATTCAAGCCAATGATGTTTTATTTTCAAACTATGACCAACATTTTTTTTCAAATGCAAAAGACTGACCAAAATGAACTTTTATTGTTGCAAAATACTTTCTCATCTTTAACTGCCTCTGATCACTAACACACCATTGCTGCTGCTTATATGTATGCGAGGATAATATCGAATTTGTGAAATTACTCAAACACAGTCAAGGGTAATGAAAAGTAAAGCACCTGATTGCGGTGGGCATTTTCTCTGTTTTCCGCGTCCCGCACGAAAAAGCGACAGGTTCCTGAGTGGAGGATCTGGGGATGAAGAAATTAGAGAAAGAAAGAGACAAGAGGCAGAAATAGATTCATAAAGCTGGGAGCGAGGTGGGTGCCATCTCTCTGATGGAGAGACAGTCACACTTACCACAGACAACACAGCACATTTATTGGCTTCCAAAGGGGAGTTTAAGGTCAAAAGTGTGCCCAGATCCTATTCATCAAAATCTGGGTAAGCTCCTTATTTTTTGGTACAAGATTTAGCATATCAAGACCTGGGTGAGTCAAGGTCCTATTTGTTCCTCATTCCAAGCATCTGGATAAATATAAGAAATCAGTACTGATAACAGGATTCTGCCAGTGCCCTCGGGCTCACTGATAAGAATTAAAAGAATGTCCGTGTGCCTTCCCAGAGGGCTCTCTACACCTGATCAAATCACCATAGGCAAGATGACATTTGGAAAAGAACGGTACCGGGTCTGAGTATGTGGACACTGGGTCCTAAGGGAACCAAGGAGAGCTTGTCCTGTGTCACACACATGCTTCAGGAATGACTAACACTTTTATTCAGGGAGGCCACCGGGCACTGTCATGAGGTGTGCCACCATGGAATCAAGGTTTATTTTTCTTCTTTGAAATCTCTTTATTGATTTCAGAGAGTAAGGGAGAAGGATAGAGATACGGTAGAAACATCAATGATGAGAGAGAGAGAGAGAGTCATAGATCATGCCCCACACTGGGAATGGAGCCCACAACCTGGGAATATGTCCTGATCAGTAATCAAACCACGATCTCCTCGTTTATAGGTGCTAAAGGCAGAGATTCAAACACCAAGGGCATTTGTTTCTGCGCTTGAAGGAACATTCAGGCTAGTGGGGAGATGGAAAGGGCCACCGGGCTGGATATGCAGGTGGGCAGAGAGCCTTCTGGAGGAGGTATGAGCCACCCAATTGGGAGGAACAGCCTGTGGTATGGGAGAGAGAAAGGAGTGAAGGCTGATATTTATGATTCTGTGGGAGATGTGGAAAGAGGGAACTCCCGGAGTTTTGATGAAGTGTTTTGGAGCGTTGACTACAGCATGCTAAGTGGGGATGTCAGCTAGTTTGTTGGGCACACAGGAGTGAGCTTAAGAGACGGAACTGGGCTCTGAGTTTGCTTTAACGGCACACTCCTGATCGTTCACCAAGTCTAAGTCATTGTAGCTCCTTTCAGAAACTTGTGACAATTATTACTGATGGTCCGAGTCCCTTTTTCATTTCTGCTGAAGGGAATGAGCGTGCATCGAGAGAGTTGTTTCTCTATTTCTAAGGATTTCTTTTTTATTTTTTTCCTCTGACAAGCAAGCATGTGGTCTCTTTCTTACCTTTGCTTCCAAGTCAAAAAGCACCTGGAACTATTAACTTACCAACATATTGTTTTTGTGGCTGGAAAAAAGAGAGAGGAGGAGCTGATGGGGTGTCCCCACCAGCAGGAAGGCAGGTGACTTTGCTTTTACCCCCATGGGGCTGACAGAGCTCCCTGCTCAACTGCCTGGGCCTTGGGACCCATTTCTGGGGAGAAGGTCCCTGCACCCACCTGCCTGGAAGGACACATGGCCAGCATGAGGCGTGGTGGGGGGAGCTCCTCTCCCTCTCCACCCCAGATGGCAGTTTTTGCACGTGTCTGTTTCCTGGTGTGTAAAAGTGACGCTAAATACCTTTTTTCTTTTTGAAAAATACCATCTGCATGGACTATACAAAACAACGCTTTTGAGAGCTGGGATTTTTAACATGTTAATGAGAATTACTTTTGGTTGGCATTTCAGGTACGCAGTATCCACCCAAGTCTTTTCAGAGGACAGCTCTGACTCTAAGAAAGAGATTCCAAGTGGCATCTTGATGTTGCTGCCCCAGAATTGCAGCCTTTCCTGGGCCACCCAGAGCCTCCGCGACCACTGACACTTGAAAAACAGAAGAACAGCCCTAACTGGTTTGGCTCAGTGGATAGAGCATTGGCTTGCAGACTGAAGGGTCTCAGGTTCAATTCCAGTCAAGGGCATGTACCTTGATTGAGGGCACATCCCCAGTAGAGGCTGTACAGGAGGCAGCTGATCAATGTTACTCTCTCATCAATGTTTCTATCTCTCTATCCCTCTCCCTTCCTCTCTGTAAAAAAAAAAAAAAAAAATCAATAAAATATATTTTAAAAAATTGAAAAAGGCAAACTGAATTACTCCTGAGGTTAATCTCTATATAAAAGCACAGCGACAGGATCAGCAGAATGGCTGGAATGACCGGTTGCTATGACATGCACTGTGGTAGCCAACCAGCTTGATCTAAACCCTGATCTGCTTCCCCCAACCTCCCATTGCCCCTGCCACCTGCCAGCTCTGCCCCAGATTGCCCTCCACCAATCAGGGGTGGGGCCAGCCAGCCAACCTCCCAGGTCCCCTCCCCCTGGCAGGCTCTCTGATAGGCCTTGATTACCAGCCAGGCCTAGGGACCCCAATTGTGCACAGATTTGTGCACTGGGCCTCTAGTTTTTAAATAACAGAGACTACATTAATAAAATGTCTGTTAATTTATCCAAAACCAAAGAAGGAATGAAGGAATTGAAAAATTATATAAAAATGTGTAAAATACCATAAAAAACTGCTCAATTTTTAAAATATAAGAGGAAATATACATATGGTTATTCTGAACTAGAATGTAATTGCTATACCAATTAAGAGGAACTTTTTTTAATATCACAAATCATTTGTGTATGATATTTTTATTGTCATTGTTTTCTTATGATCACAGATCAATTGTCCAGGGTTTTTCATTCTTTAATTTTTGATAAATTATAAAGTGTTGAGTTTTCAGAAATTTATTGCATTTATAAAAGCTTGTTTAAGTTCCCAATTTTTATATAATTTGTGTGAATATCTCTATTCTGCATATATATAGGTTATTCACTCATTTATATGTCTAACTAGATAGTAAACATTCTTTTGTGAATTCAAAATATATATCTATGCTTTTCAGGGTTTTACCTCTTTGATAAATACTCCAATTTAAAATTTGTTTCAGAAGATAACATTTCTGTATGGTCATCATCATGGATTTATTATTTCATCAAATGTTTATCAAACACCTTTTTATTTAGATTCTGTTCTAAGCATTGGACTGAACAAGATCAAGTCTTTGCCCTAACAGAACTACAAGTCTAGTGGAGAAGGCAACCAGTTTTTTAATATTATAAATCATTTGGATACTATGTTTTTGTTGTAATTGTTTTCATTAACCAAAGCAACAAAAATATAACATAAGGTCAGATAGCAATACATGCTATGAAGCAACATAAAATAGGGCTTCAACTTTAGAAAGGGAAGGCTTTATTGTAGAGGTAATATTTGAGCAAAGATGCAAAGAAGATCAGATGAGAAGCCATGTAGCTATGAAAAAGAGGATACTAGACATAGGAGAAAACACACACAGGCCTAAAATAGGAGCATAGCCAGGGGTTTGAAGAACAGCAAAAAGGCCTTTGGGGCATAGAATGAAATAAGCCAGCGAGTGAAAACAGTAGATGATGGGAATGGAGTGATTAAGATCCTTTTTGACCTGGGAAAGAGAAGGTTATCTGAAATAGGAAGCAACTGGACAGTTTTCAGGACAGAGTAATGCAATATGACCCGAAATGATCTGTCAGACATATTACAGTGATGTAGCTCAAAGTCAGAGGACTTTGGATGTGTTTTGAAAGTTAAGTCAGTGGCATTTGCTATGGAATTTGATGTGAAATGTAACTAAAGAATCAATATTGACTTTAAGTCTTTGGCTCGGACATGTTATGTTTGAGATGCCTATTGGATGTCCAAGTGGAGATGTTGAAGTATTTGGGTATCTACACCTGAGGTTTAGAGAAAAGGTATAGACTGGAAGTATAATTGATCAGAGAGATGGTATTTAGGTACTAAAATGGATGAGGTAACCGAGAGAGTGAGTACAAAGACGCGAGGAAAGAGTTCAGGCCCTCTTTAACATCTGGAGGTACAGGGTGTGAAAATAAAGCAGCGAATCAGACAATAAAAATGACTGGTGAGGGAGAATAAAAATCAAGAGAATGTAGAATCCTTGAAGTCAAATGGAGGGAAAAGTTTTTCAAAGAATAAAAATGGGCATATCACTACCGATCTTACAGATGTTAGAATTTAACCAGTATATTATGACTAATTTGGTTTGATCATTTAGATGAAATGTTTAAACTCCTTAGTTATCACCAGACAAAGAAGAAATAGTAAACATGGAAAGGTTTATATCTATTATAGACTTAAATCTATAATCAAAATCCTCTCAAAGAGAATTCTAAGTCCTGATGACTTCCAGGGTTAATTCTTCCAAATATTTAAGGAAAATATAGCATCTATAACTCCCATATAAAATTTCCTAGCCAGCACCGGTTTGGCTCAGTGGATAGAGCGTCAGCCTGTGGACTGAAAGGTCCAGGGTTTGAATCCAGTCAAGGGCATGTCCCTTGCTTGCGGGCACATCCCCAGTAGGGGGTGTGCAAGAGGCAGCTGGTCGATGATTCTCTCTCGTTGACGTTTCTAACTCTCTATCCCTCCCTCTTCCTCTCTGTGAAAAATCAATAAAATTTCCTCAAGGTAATAGGAAGTTATTTTCTAAGGCTAGGATAACCTTTATACAAAAACTGATAAGGATATTAAAAAAAAACAAAAAACAACAACACCCAGAAAGTTATTGTCTAATCTTATCTCTGAACACAGAGGATACACTCCTAAGCAAGATAGTGGCAAATCAAATCAAGCAGGTATGAAATGGGAAATAAATACCATCCAAATTAGATCTATGTAAGGCATTAAAGTTTGGTCTACCATGTGAAAAATAATCAATGAACAAATTATGTCAAAAAACAAACAAACATTGATATTCGCAATAAACAGAGACAAAGTCTTTGAAAAAAAGTCATTCATAATAAAATTTCCTAGTAATCTAGAGAGAGAAGGGAACAAATATAATTTGCTTATAGATATTTAGTGAGATAAGAAGAAAAAAAACCCTAAAGCAAACTATACACTTAATAGTAAAATATTCAACTATACCCACTGAGACCAGAGCAATGTAAAAATTTTCTGCTAGCCACCAAAGTTATTCATCACTATACAGGATGTCCTAGCCAATTTGATAGGGCCAGATTAAAATATAAAGGGTCTTAAAAATTGGGAAAAAAATAAAAAAATTCATTCTTCACAAAAAAAGATCAAAATAATTTATAAATATACTTAAAAATCAGTATGTGATTTTAGCAAGCTCATTAAATACAAGATCAACATAAAGTGCATCTGCATTTCTAAATATTAACAATAATTAGATATTAAAATATATAAATACTATTTATAATAGCCTCATAAACATCAAATAATAGGAATCCATTTAGTAAGATGATTATATTAGTAAGGATTCTTTATAGAAACAGAATTAATAAAATATATATGTATGTATTATAGAGTATCCCAAAAAATGTATACACACAATTATTGAAATTGTGTGTATACATATATATGACATCTGAAACAACCATTGGTCACAAAATGGCTAATAAGTTGTAGTATAGTTAAACAATGGAATAATACACAGTTATGAAATGCTGAGTTTAAGAAGACAGATTCTAGGGGTGTGAGGACATGAGTGAGGGGTGGGGGATTGGAATTGGGGGTTGAGGACAAATATGTGATACCTTAATCAATAAATAATTTTTTTTAAAAAAGAAGACAGATGCAAAAGGGAACATACAATGTGATTTCATGTTCTATTGTATGACCTGGGGTGGGGGGGTAGTCACATAGAACTGATGATGCTTGTCCATAGAACTGTACTTTTTAAGAAAAGTGCACTTAATCTGATTTTAGCGATTCAACAATTCATGACAGTGTCCTGTTATCCTAATAATTTGCTATTTATAAGTATGTGAATAATATCCTATCTAATAAAGAGGTAATGTGCAAATTGACCATCACTCCAACACATAAGATGGCTGCCCCCATGTTGTCAAAGATGGCCACCCCATGTTGACTCAAGATGGTCCGCAGGGGAGGGCAGTTGTGGACAATCAGGCCAGCAAGGGAGGGCAGTTGGGAGGGACCAGACCTGCAAGGGAGGGCATTTGGGAGAGGTCAGGTCTACAGGGGAGGACAGTTAAGGGTGACCAGGCCTGCAGGGGAGGGCAGTTAGGGGTGAACAGGCTTGCAGGGGAAGGCAGTGGAGGGCAGTTGGGAACAAGCAGGCTTGCGTTGGAGGGCAGTTAAGGGTGACCAGGCTGGCAGGTAAGGGCAGTTAGGGACAATCAGGTTGGCAGGGAAGCAGGGATTGATCAGGCTGGCAGGGGAGTGGATAGGGAGTGATCAGGTTGGTAGGAAAAAGCAGTTAGAAGCAATCAGGCAGGCAGGTGAGCGGTTGGGAGTCAGCAATCCTGAATTGTGAGGGGGATCCCAGATTGGATACGGTGCAGGCTGGGCTGAGGGACAAACATTTCCCATGTATGAATTTTGTGCACAGGGCCTCTAATAGTTTTATATTTAACCAGCATTTTAAAAAAAATCTAAATTAGGAATTTTCCATATTAGGAATCATTCCAAATGACAGAAATTTTAAGGAAATCAAAGTGTTACCAGTTACAAAGCTTTGCTTTGGTTTATAACTTATTCTGGCCATGACTTTAACTTTCAAAGGCATGTATTTCAAGCATGGGAGAGTAGCAAAGATCTTGCAAGTGGAAAGAAAGTTGTCCTTGAATATAGAAAGAATAAATTAGGAGTCAACTTCCTATTCAGCCGGATGAGTGCCATGAAGCTGCCGTAGCGGTGATAAATGTAGGTAGATGGCCTTCACCTTGGCAATGCCATGCTCCCTACACACAGATTCATTCCGTTTCAGGGTGAACATCTGAAGACACAACACTGTGAACTTGGTTGCCAGGAGGAAGGGTGTCGCCTTGGGTTTCTCTCATGCCTGGCCATCTGACCAGTCTAGTCTGAAGTTGTGGGCATTGGCTCCTATCTGGTAACAAATAGGATGAGAATGATGACTCAGGGAACAAAGAGATAAGGCTTCTGTTTATTGTCCCTTTTCAAAAAATCCTCAGTGCTCTCTTTCTCACCCACAAATTGCCTTCAAAATAAAGATACAATTTCTCAGCCTGGGAGTCAAGGTCTGTTCAAGCTGGCTCCATGCTACTTGGGAACATGGTCTTGTCCTGGTCACCCTGAGCCACCTGTGCTCCAAGCAGGGTCCCCGCACACTTGCTTGAACCCATCACAACCTTCTCATGTTGGCTGCTGCCTGAGCACTCTGCCCTCCCCTTCTCCACTTCTTGAGGGGAGAGGTTACATATTCCTTGTTTTGTCCACTGAGATGAGCAGAGAGTCAGGTAGAAACAAATCCTGTAGTTTCATAGCTGTGGTAGACTTTTAGAGAGATGAGATCTACTTAAAGATATTAAAGAAAATATGTTGTAAAGTCTTAAACAGATGAAATAATACCAAAGTGAATAACATAAAGAATGTAAGTTCTTCCCCGCGAACATCCCATAAGGCTGACCAGTGTTTTTCCTCCCAGACATTAGTCTGGCTGCAGAGAACTAAACTTCTTTCTCCCCAAAGATGGCATTACATTATGGACTCTGTTCTGCAGCTTTAAGGTTTGTTTTTCATTTACTATTTCCTGAACCTTTCCCCATGTCAGTGCAGAGAGGTGACTTAAAAAAAAAAATCAGTTGGAGGAAAGCCTTCAGCATGCTTTTCTCTGCCCGAGGAGGCCCTGCCACCTGCCCAGGAGCTGCAAGTACCACGGAGGGGACTGAGCAAAGTGGGATCCAGGGCGTTTCTCAGCTTCTGTCCTCTCCCTGGGCCCCCCCTGTCACTGGGGACCTGCTCCTAGGAGAGGGCATGCCTGGCCCAGCGCCTTTGCAGGAGGGACCACCTTCAGGGAATCTCCAGTCAGGAGTGGTAGTCAGTGCACAGCATCTGGCAAAATTGGGACACCCTGCTCACCATCCTTTCTCCTTCCTCCCTCCCTTTCTTCCTTCCTTCCTTCCTTCCTTCCTTCCTTCCTTCCTTCCTTCCTTCCTTCCTTCCTTCCTTCCTTCCTTCCTTCCTTTCTTCCTTCCTTCCTTCCTTCCTTCCTGTGGGAAGCCGTGTTCCGTGGGGCCCGAGGGCAAGGATGGAGCCTAGGGTAAGGACGCCTACCTGCTCTCCTACAGGGGATTGAGCACAGGGTAGGGACGCCTACCCGCTCTCCCCTAAGCCTTCAGGGTTAACTAGGGACAGGGCAGACCATAGCCCCATTGTTAGAGAGTGCGCGTGATGCACGACTTATCTGGATGTTCTCAGCTAGGCTGTTCTCAATGATATCTAACCGGACGCTTGCTCTATGTATCTTTTCCAAGAATGTCTTGAGGGGCTGACGGGCGGCCTTGTCCTGGGAAAGGGGCACTTGGAGAAATGCCCAGAAAAGCCTCATAAATGTACGCTTGCAACTAATAAAGTTGCTGCAGTCTCATCATGGACTAGCAGTCCTCCTGAAGTCCCGCTTTCTCTTGTCTTTATTTCTCTTAAAACCTCCTAGCCCTACCTCCAGGACCTGTGATGCCGGCTGGATCCGGTAATTGGCGCCCGTGAACAGGGACCTGGAGACACTGGGTAGAAGTAGGAAGGTCGCCGTTGGTAAAGGACGCGACGAAACAGTGAGTAACGGCGGATTGAGTTTTTTTTTTTACATTCAGGAGTAATAAAATGGGGCAAGTACAGAGCAGGGACAGGTCCTGCACAGCATGTTTGTGTCTCGCGGTGCCTGTGTAAGGCACGGGACAAAGTAAAAGAGCTCTTCAGAGTGAATGTTGAAGTCTATTGATCACAAAATAATGTTGTTTATTGTTGAAATTAGAATCTTAGTATATGTATGGAATTTAAAATCTGTAATAAGTGGAACTCCACTGTTGAAACTGCCTCTAATGCGGATAAATTCAAAGGCAGCTGGAGAAGGAAGGGCTATCTGCTCTCCCACATTAAGATTACTTGCAATAAGACTACTTAATGCCTTGTTTAAAAATTATAAGAGAACTCGCAGGGAAATGCAAATCTTGGCCAAATTGGGTATTAGTTATTATTTCAGAAAGTCAAAAAGGAAGGAAAAAAAAAAATTGAGACCTGTCTATCTTTTAAGCATGAAAAGAAATTCAGCCAGATCTGTTGCTGATGCTTCCCCTGAAGGAAGCATGATGTGGGGGAAGGGAGAGACATGAGGCGATCCAATATATTGTAGAAGCCACTCTCCTAGTATAATAAATTAAAAGTTTCTTTTCTCGCCATAAAAAAAGTTTTGATAATTTAGAAATGCGTCTGGGATATCTGTACACGTGTAAAGAGAAAGCTAGTATAAGACAGAATGCGCGCACGTCCGATTTCGGATATTAGATAAGTCTTGAACTAGCCTTAACTCTTTACAGGAGCTACAGAAATGAAAAACCCAGAACTGATTCTTTTTCCTGAGAAAAACAGCGAAAAAATCTTCTTGAAAGAAATTCAAGCTAATTCCAGCAACAAGATTTGCATTTCCACAATAAAGAGTAGTTTTCAAAATGCTAGTGAACCTTATTGAAAAGTTAACTTTTAAGGCCTTCAAGAAAATAAATAAATTTGTCTCTGTCATAGAATTTATCCAAAGTAAATACTTTAAAATAATTATAATTGATTCTAGAATCTCAAAGAAATTATTAAAATATAGATGAATAAATAATGCATTAATACTAAAGATCTAAGTAATCCAGGTAACTGGCTACATCCTTTGTTGAGGGAGGAAAGGGTAAAGGCCCTTCCCCCAGCAGACAGTTAATATAGTGTCCTACCAGTAGCCATCTTAAAGAATGTGATAATTTACAGTCGAATAAACAAAACCTAGTTTCCCAGAGCCACTGGCAAATAAAAATTAAAGTTTAAATTTGCCTCATAAAAAACCTAGAGAACAGAATTGAATCTATTAATTGATTATGTCTTGTATTTTTCTTAGAAATATAAAGTGTTATTAATCTAAGAACTACTAAATATATTTAACTTGCCAGCTTTAAAAGTTCAAAGTACAAATTAAATAAGGAAAAATTATAGTCATAGTGATTAAATACTTAAAGCATAAAAAGTTATTTTTAAGAAAATAAAATGTTATATTTCCGCTAATAATTAGGAATTCAAAATAAGTTGCTTATTATTGATCTAATTAAAAAGAGGATTAATTCTGTGATCTCAAATAAGAATTTTCTATTCAAAAACTAGTCTAAATCTAATTGATATCTTAAGATAATAATAGATAATAATAACAGGTATTAAAATATTTAAATCATATGTAGATATTTATTTGATGGTTTTTTCCATGTTAAAATTTCAAGGCATTAACAGAGATGATTCTTGGAAAGCTCCAAGGGCCCGGAGTAATGCAAGAAATTTATTCTCTCTTCTTATAGGAAAACTTTTTAAAACACATCTAATATACTTGAAATTGCATGGAAAGACTTATCAAATAAAAATTAAAAGGTATATATTAAATATTATAAAAGTTTTCACCTGTAAGAAAGGCAAAAACAATATATTTCTTAAACATAGCCAAATTTTTTCAACAGCAGTAGAATTTCAAGAAAGACAAAAGCCATGCTTTTAGATCAGACCAATAAAGTATCAAACCTATAAGTTTTACTGAATAAGTTTCTTTGCTATTATTTTTTTTTAATTAAAGATACCTACTTAAGTTACTTTATAAATTAGCTTTCACAATATAATCAATATCATATAAATTAAGTTACATGAGAAGCCAATGTTTTATAAATAATTGAATCCTAACTGTGTATGGCCACCTACATTGTAATCAAGCTAAAGGCAAGGCAACATTTGTGGCTTATGAATTCAAAAGTAAACTTGCCTTATTTTTAAAGTAAAGATACCCTGCCATGATAGCAGTCGGCACCTGTGCATTCCTACAGGTTGCCCAGGATCAAGGGCAAGGCATTGTGGAGCGAGCTCATCAAGAACTCAAAAATCAGCTTTTTAAAATTAAAAAGGGGGAGTATTATACCCACACCCCCAGGAATTTACTTAATCATATAATCTTTATTTTAAACTTTTTGCAAATGGACAAAGACGGCCAGACAGCGGCTCAGCGGTTTTGGGAGCCCACACCAAAACGCTTTCCAGATGTATACTGGAGAGATCCACTGACTAGGGAATTGCATGGGCCGGATCCAGTACTAATGTGGGGTCGAGGCTATGTTTGTGTTTTCCCTACAGGAGACGACAACCCGAGGTGGTTGCCAGAGCGGTGTGTTCGACATGCCTCGAAGCAAAATCGCGCGGCTGCGAGCCCAGCTGAACGGCCTGATGCGTCAGAAGAAGCAGCAGCGTGGGAGCCGGCGACGGAGAGTTTCCCTTAGCCGTGACAAGCTGCCAGAGATCCGTGTGGTTGCTCAGTTGGTTTCCTTCCTATGGCTACTATCGAGATTGATGGCTGTGCATGCTGCTGTTTATTGGGAGTATGTACCCAACCCACCATTGCTGCATCCTGCAACCTGGGAGGATAAGAACATTCCTGTTTATGTTAATGACACCAAGGTCTTGGGGCTTATGTCCTCGGGCCACATTTCCCCAGCCTGGGCAGAAGGGTACAATTATCAAGGAGTTACCAAAGGGACACCAGTGTGTTTTCCTTTGAGGATAAAGAAGGCTGCACCATGGTCCAGAGGCTGTCTGACATTGATACCAAGCACTCTGCAGGTACCCACTGGGGTATGGATAGCTATTACATTGCTAGAAATGGCACCACGGCACGCTGTGGCCCTGGGACATACCCACAGGGAGTCAAACCTTGTGGGCCTTTGGGGCCATCTAAAAATAACCTTGGGCTGATGTGGCGGACATGTCATGCGAATGAAACAGTCTGCCGCAGGTCCCTATGTGACTGGGCCAAGACGAACAGCAATCTTGGGCCAAAGAACTTAGTGACTGGACTTTGGACAATGGACAATGTTACTTACCAAAGAGATTTGTGGAAAATGGTGGCTGCCATGGACTACATCACTGTCGGGAAGGAGAATGTGACGGTGCAGCCACAAAGGGGAGTCATTAGTGGCTCGGGGAGTAGCTGGAATGTGAGCGTGTCCGCATGTGTACCTGAACCTTATGCTTTGTTACTGGGTAATTTTAGTATTAGCCTAGATAATGAAACTGGAATAACCAGCATCGCTTGTAATAATTGTCGTCTAACTAATTGCATTAATGGCACTACCCCTTCCTTGTTAATCTTATATCAACCTGTATTTGTTCTCCTGCCAGTTAACACTACCCAAGAGTGGTACTCTGACATGGGGCTTGCTGTGCTTCAGACAGTAGAAAAAGCCTTAAGCCGAACGAAAAGATTTGTAGGATTGTTAATAGCAGGTACCAAGGCTTTAATCACTTTAATTGCTTCTGCCACTGCTTCTGCCATATCGTTAACAACTTCCATTCAGACGGCAGACTATGTGAACAACCTGGCTTACAATGTAACGCAAGCATTACAAACCCAAGAGAACTGGGACAAGAAAATAGAGCAAAGGGTGAACGCTCTCTATGATGTTGTACAAATCCTAGGCCATGAGATTGTAAGCTTGGAGGTGAAAAGCTCTCTAAGATGCCACGCCGCATTCTCATGGATTTGCATAACACCAAAAGAGTATAATGATTCTAGGTTTCCATGGGAAAATGTCAAAAGGCATCTTCAGGGTATATGGCATGATGCAAACACCTCCCTTGATTTGAGAATGTTGCATGGAGAAATCCAAGATTTGCTGAACGCACCAAAGCTTGATATAGATATAGCTAGAGAAGCCTCGGAGTTTGTAACCCGGCTACGGGACAACTTCCCAACTATAAGTGCTTTCCTTCATAGAGTAATAGGCCTAATTGCAGTAGCAAGTTTCCTGGTACTTTTATGCATGTTGTTGCCTTTCTGTATAAGATTAATCTGTAAGCAAATGTACAAGTTAACCATGGACATCCGCCTGCTTCAGCTGCATCGAGAGAAGGACAGCACCCCGCTTAAGATGTAATAAATTAAAAAGGGGGAGCTGTGGGAAGCCGTGTTCCGTGGGGCCCGAGGGCAAGGATGGAGCATAGGGTAGGGACGCCTACCTGCTCTCCTACAGGGGATTGAGCACAGGGTAGGGATGCCTACCTGCTCTCCCCTAAGCCTTCGGGGTCAACCAAGGACAGGGCAGACCATAGCCCCATTGTTAGAGAGTGCGCGTGATGCACGACTTATCTGGATGTTCTCAGCTAGGCTGTTCTCAATGATATCTAACCGGACGCTTGCTCTATGTATCTTTTCCAAGAATGTCTTGAGGGGCTGACAGGCGGCCTTGTCCTGGGAAAGGGGCACTTGGAGAAATGCCCAGAAAAGCCTCATAAATGTACGCTTGCAACTAATAAAGTTGCTGCAGTCTCATCATGGACTAGCAGTCCTCCTGAAGTCCCGCTTTCTCTTGTCTTTATTTCTCTTAAAATCTCCTAGCCCTACCTCCAGGACCTGTGATGCCGGCTGGATCCGGTTCCTTCCTTCCTTCCTTCCTTCCTTCCTTCCTTCCTTCCTTCCTTCCTTCCTTCCTTCCTTCCTTCCTTCCTTCCTTCCTTCCTTCCTTCCTTCCTTCTTCCACAGGCTCAGTGGTTTGTCTTAGAGATTTACTTCATCATGATTGTTCCTCTATCCAACCCGCACTCTGCCAGCATCTCTGATCTCTGCCTCCTCCAGAGACCTTGCCCTTTGTCCTCTCTACCCCATGACTCTTGGTCCTGATGATAATTTGGAAACCATTGGGATCACAAGAACATTATTCAGCTCTCCTGTGACCTGATGACGAATTTCACCTACTCCCTCAGGTTGGATCCCAGGTCAAATTAGGATGTTGTCCTGGGTGACTCTGAAGCTCAGCCAGGGTGCAACCACCTCCTGCCAGCAGCCAGTCCCTGGAGAGCAGAAGACACTCCTGGTTGCGCAAGGAAGCACCAGGAGGCTGGGCGCCCAGCCAGGGAAAAACTAACCCCCAAAACGAGCTGCAAACCCCGGTTCTTCCTTCTATTCTAACACAGCCCGCTCACTGCTCAACCGAGATCACCCAGCCCAGCCCCAGGGCGCCCCTCCCTCCTGAAGTTGCCCTAAATTGAGACCAAGGTTCTGGGTCTCAGTCCCCGCGCGGAGCCCACCGCTGGCGCGATGACGACGGTCTGGCTGGTGCCCGTCGGGCAGAAGCTGCTGCTCTGGGGCTCGCTCAGCGCCCTCACCCTGGCGGGAGTCAACCTCATCCTGAGCTTCCTGCAGAGGGTGATGAGCTATGCGCATAACTGGCTGCAAATGAGGCCCGTCCCCACCATTTCTGGCGCCTACCCCTTTGTGGGACACGCGCTGATGCAGAAGCGAGGAGGGAAAGGTAAGGGGCTGAGCGCCCAGGCCCAGGCGGGCCGCATCCACACAGGAGTTGTTGGGCCCTTTGCAGGGAACCGAGGCGCGGGAGCACCTCCTGAGCAGCACCCTCACCCCCGCCTGGCGCACCGGACTGGAGATGCAGGCTGCTGGGTGAGGGGCGCCTCTATCACCCCCTGGATAATGGGTCCCCACTTCTCTCCAGTTTTCATTACATATAAGTGCAGAGTTTCTAAACGCCTGTCCTTCTGCCTTTTCTCTTCTCGTTTTCCCAAGTCCTGGTTGCTGCTGTCTTAAACCACTGCCTGTAGCCCTAGCTGGCTGGGCTCAGTGGATAGAGCTTCTGCCTGCAGACTAAAGGGTCTGGGGTTTGATTCTGGCCAAGGGCATTTGCCTGGGTTGCAGGCTCCATCTTCAGTGGGGGCATGCAGGAGGGAGATGATGAATGCTTCTCTCTCATCATTGATGTCTCTCTCTCTCTCTCTCTGTCTCTCTCTCTCTCTCTCTCTCTCTCAATCTCTTTCTCAAAGAAGGTATGAGATATTGACTTGACAAAATGTTAATAAATAAATATAGTAAAGTTGCAGGATATAGAATCAACATACAAAAATCATGTGCATTTCATTATTCTAACCGTGGACTATCAGGAAGAGAAATTAAGGAAACAGTCCCATTTACAATTCAATCAAAGCAAATGAAACACGTAGGAATAAATTTAACCAAAGCGGTGGAAGTGCTGTACACTGAATATTGTAAGGTATTGACTAGAGAAGTGATACGGACTACTTCTGTCATTACTTATTCTGTTGCACTAATTGTTCCAGTTTGGAGTATTAGAAGCTTTTCGGGTTGGCTGCTTGGTGTTTCAACGTGGCCCCATCATTTTCTGAGCACTTCCTTATTTTCTGGCACCAGGATATATTCCACTGTTCTTATATTTTTCTCTGCCTCGGCCCTAAAATCAATGACTTCTCCAAGGAGAATTAGTTTATTTTATTGTGAGACAGTGTTTAGAAAAACTGAGACCTGGTGCTTGTACTAAAAAATGGGAGCCAATGTGGGAAGTTATATTACTAGAAATCTTGTTTAGAATATCAGAGAAGACTTTGCAGCAAAATCCCATTTAAGATGACACTGGGAGAATAAGTAAGTGTTATTAGACAAAGAGCATTAAGAATAAGAGTTTCCTAAAAGGGAAAGAGGTTCTGTAGAGGCCTTGAGACATTTGAGATTAGTAAAACAGAAGAGTTTTTTAAATTTTTTTTTCTTGAGGTAATATTGGTTAGTAACGTTATCTAGATTTCAGGTGTACAATATTATAATTTGATGTCTGTATACTCTTTTGGCTGTTCACAAGCAAACATCTAATTTCCATCTATTACTACTTGTTTAAACCCATTTACCTGCTTTGCCCTCTCTCCACTCTCCTTCTCCTCTGTAGCCACTATTCTGTAGTCTGTATCCTTGAATTGGTTTTTTTATATCTGTTCATTTATTATTTTTTTGTTTTATATATTATATATGAGTTAAATCAGTCTGTTTTTGTCCTTGTCTGACTTATTTCATTTAGCATAATATCCTTAAGATCCATTCAAGCTATCACAAATGACAATATTTAATATTTAAAAAAATAAAAAATAATAATTTCTATTAATTTCACAGTGGAAAGGATGGTAAGGGGAGATAGAGAAATATCAGTGATGAGAGAGAATCATCAATTGGCTGTCTCCTGCATGCCCCACACTTGGAATCGAACCTGCAACCTGGGCATATGGCCTGACCAGGTCAATGCTCAACCACTGAGCCATGCAAGCTGGGCCATTATTATCACATCTTCTTTATCCATGCATCCTCTGATGGACACCAAAGGTTGCTTCCATAACCTGCTTACTGTAAATAAAGCTGCAGTTAACATTGCTGTGCATATATTTTTTGAATTAGTGTTTTCATGTTCTTCAGATAAATACCCAGAAGAGGAATTGCTGGATCATATGGTAACTCTAATCTCAATTTGTTGAGGAGCTTCCATACTGTTTTAGAGGGGGTGAAAGGGAAGCATCTATCTGCCAGGGCTGGAGAGCTGGGACAGGTTTCCCTTCCGATGGAAGCGGAGCCTGAAGCAGGTCAGGAGGAACTGAACACCCTCAGCGCTCTTGGGAGGCATGTCATAAGGTCACCACAAACACCCACAGTGCTTGGCACTTCTCAGTTAACCAGGTTGTTGCACATATATCACTCATAATTAAATTAGCCTCATAATTCTGCATTAATAATTTAGTAAGGACACCTGTGTGGTTTAGCTTTAAGAGGTGAAAGAGCTGGGAGATATGGAATGAGTTGATCAAAGTAAAAGGAGTAAAAAGCCCAAAAATGTCACAGTAAGAAACTTATTTAAAATTAAATATTTTCTCCTAGAGTTTTTCCATCAGCTGATTAATTGCATTGAAGAAAACAGACATGTGCCAATGCTAAAACTCTGGCTTGGCACAGTACCAGTAATAGTCATGTACAAGGCCGAAACTATAGAGGTGAGTTTATGGCGACTGTGATTAATGTTCCACTGTATATTTGGTGGTGTGAGAATCTCATCAGAATAAACAGCAAATATATGTCCTTATATTTAATGGAATTCAAATCAATGAGGATTCCACTAAATATCTAAAGCTGTGAAGGTGCCATTTAATGATTTCCAGATACAGTCTGAGTTCTAGGAAGAGTAACAGCTTCTACGTGTTTATACACATTTGGTATCAAGTAATATATTTGTCCTCATTTTTTGGGAAGTCTTCAGTTGAACAGAACCATAAATAGATTATTCTATAAATTGAGCTCATAACATCTGCCAGGTACTGTTTTAATATTAAAAAAATATAAGAAAAATAAAATATAGGTGTTTCCCTTACGATGCTCAGAGTATCCTTTATACTTTTTTTATTTCAAGTTAATTTTTAAAAAGAGAACACTAATCTGATATTGATGGGGAAGAAGTTATTGATTCATACTATTGAAACTAAAACATGTTTACTTATCATGACATTGGGGGTATTATCTGACAGCTTGATGACAAATGATTCTGTACAGGAAGTAAAATGGGATAAACAGACCACGCTTCTTTGGAGCAAAATTAACAGCAGAATTTCCTATGCTTGTTGGGCTTGGATATATCTTTCTTACTCATTGTGTAAAAGTCTTAGTGTCTCTGGCACCACACTGCAGAATCTACTGGCCCAGAGGAGACAGCGAGAGGGCCACATACGGGGTTTCAGCCATTGCTGGCCCAATATGAGTGGGCTTAATACATGAGGATAGAGATCTATCCAAAGCAGGGAACTGCAGCAAGAAGCCTGAGAAACATTTTGTGCATATGCTCTTCCCTTCTGCTTTACTTTGGCTCCAGGCAACCTAACTATACCCATGGTCCCCAGTGCCACCTATGCCCTGGAGACACTCAAATGTGTACCCAGTATAAGCCTTAATCCTGAGCTGCATACCTGCTTTCAGACTATGGCAACTTGAATGCCTCCAATTCAACATGCCTGATCTTGATCTTGTGATTTCCATCTCCCTAAATGTGGTCATCCTCTGATTCACCCACCTTCTCTTCCCTCACTCCTACCCTCAATAAACAACTACACATGGCTCCTAATTCATGGCAGGAGTCAGGG